AAGAACAGCCTGTCTCTTCCTAAAGCTTTTCATCTGTCTCCTACAATTTACTAGATATTCTGAACAAACAGATAAAAGCAGACCTCCAGATTTTAGCTTCAGGGAATTACCATTTATTTTACAGCAGAATTTCTGTGACAGCTTTCCAAGCCTAGAGATTGAACAGAATGTCTTTCCACCACTGTGAGCAAGGCAGAGGAACTTTTAACCCAGGTGGGTTAGTATGAAGCGTCTTACTTATATCATTGTTGTTGAGTGTGCATCACTTTTAAACTAAGTTAGATAGGGAGTCACTATCAAAAATGGTTCATTATTTATAAAAAGAAAAGAACTTTGTTGTGTATAACAGACTTCGATGTAGTACCATCTGATGAGACTATTGTTCCAGCTGACACTGTTCATCTGTGAAAGTGCCAATGGTGAGTGAGCTTTTACTGTAATGACTGACCAAGGAATTAACATTTGCCAAGGAGGCAAGTGTTTCACGAAAGCAGTCATTTCATGCTTTCGAATAGCTTTAATCCAGATGATTTCACCTAAGTCAGTTTTTGACAGGTTGCTCTAGGTCATTGGTGGTGAACCTATGGCACACATGCCACAGCTGGCTGTTTATCATCGAAAGCTCTAAAAGGTTCGCCATCGCTGCTGTAGGTAATTATTTTCAGACTTTTTTCCTTTTATTCTAAAGATGTAATCACTCAACTTTTCTAATTCAAACTTTCATTGGAATGCAATCTTTACTGCTCTAAAGTCTCAGTCTTCCATGTTATACTTTTAATGTTGATATTTTCCTTAATGCCATCTGCTAGCTTTTTGGTTTGTTTGTGAGCTTAGTTTTCTTGGGCCAGGCCTTTACAATAATGCTTGTCTACGTGTGGAGCCGAAGAAACCCATATGTCCGCATGAACTTCTTTGGCCTTCTCAACTTCCAAGCCCCGTTTCTGCCCTGGGTGCTCATGGGCTTTTCTTTATTGTTGGGGAACTCAATCATTGTGGACCTCTTGGGTAAGAGTCTTAACACTATCTTTTCTGTTGTTTTAACCTATAAATTTATTTTGTCACTAGTTGTTCATGTTTATCCTGTCTGTCCTTCTAATACAGCTATTGTAGGATTATTTGTTACATCTTAAAAACTACAATATTGTTTCATTAATTTTTAATAGTAACACTGATATTTGTCCTAAATATAAGCAATTTATGTTGGTACTTCATGTGCAATCAAAATTTGAGACCTCTCCCTCAGCCTTTATTTCTGGTTGACTGTAGGTATTGCAGTTGGGCACATATACTTTTTCTTGGAAGATGTATTTCCCACTCAGCCTGGTGGAGTAAGAATTCTGAAAACACCATCTATTTTGTGAGTACTTGACCCATGTTTTGCGTCTAAAACATGACGAGACCCGCAACCTGGGTTTTGTTGGGGTTTTCATAGTTTAAGGTCAGTCAGTATTGCAGATTGTATAATCTTACTACAGATGAGGTACACTTGGATTGTGTAGCAGCAGACAGTGCTAGGGTATTGGCAAAAGAGATTAATGGCCCCAGATGATGTGGAGGTGACTTGCTAGTTATTGTCCTGGATGGCCATCAAAACCTTGGATCCTAGGGAGGAACCTACGGTTTTATGAAAAGTGCTGTCCAAGTCTAGAGAAGTGAGGTAGCAAACTAGGCAACGTGGATGAAAGTTTCTAATGGTGGGACTTGAGACGTTCCCAATACTTAGTCTTAACTAGGCTCAGACTCAGGATCCTTCTGCATCAGCCTTGCCGGTGCTGGGATTACAGGAGTGTGACACTACCCAGCTTGACATAGGACTCTTGGTAGATATGTGTTTTTAAATTTTTCCTGCAGTTTGAATTTGTCACTGCCTCTGGTTTCCATTGTTTGTGATTAGAAGAAGGGGTGTGTTTGTGTGTATGTGTACACACTATGGTTTGGATATGATGTAATCATATCCCCCTAGAGGTTGCTGTGGTTGGAGGCTTTGTTCCCAGGGTGGTGGTACTGGCAAGTGCTGTGGAACCTTTAAGGGATGGGGCATAGTGGGAGGTTCTTAGGTTGTGTGACCCCTTAGTAGTTCTGGAGAGAGTTATAAAAGGAGCCAACCTGGTGCCACCAGTTCTTGTGAACTTCTGACTTGACATTTAGTCACTTGCTGGGTCCTACCTGAGCTCAGGGCATTGCTCCATGCTGTGAGGCATGCGGCCAAGGTGCAGTGCTCATGGAGACTACACTGTCATTTGGACTTAGCCCTCAAAACCATGAGTTCGGTAGACCTTAATAATTACCCTGTGTTAGGTATTTCATTTATAGTGATGAAAAGCTGACTGATACAGTGTGTAAGTATTTTGAATGTGATGAGTTCTTTTTCTTTTATTCCTTTTAAGATTTTCTCTTTTTGGCTTGCAACATTTGACGACCCTGTATCTTGGTTGGTTTAGTTTCCTGAGCTATGGATTTGAATTATAAGACCACTTTCTACTCCAGAATTCTGTGTCTTTGGGAACTACTATATTTTTTCAAAAAGGGCCCAATTAAGGGGGAAAATGGGAGTTTTTGTAATACAATGTTTATTGTAGAATAAGTAAAAAAGTAAACATTTATAATACAATAGTGGTGGCTACCATTGTTAACTTCGATTTGTACAGTCTTTTGCCATCAGTGTGCTTTTTCATAACCTTTTCAAATTAATATGTCATGATCACTTTTCCATTATAAATATCCTACAAAATTGTAAAAGCTACATGACAATCCATGGTATGGATTTAGCATAATTTTACTAGTCCCCTTGATGGACATTGATATTAGTTCATGCTCTTCTTTTCTATAATTGGAGTGGTGAATATCCTTGTAGCCAAATCTCTGCACATATCCAAGGTTATTTTCAAAGAATAAATCTTAGAATTGGGACTGCTATTTAAATTATTGCTAAAATACCTCCCAGAATAGTTGAAGTTTACATTTCTACCAGCAATGTCTAAGGGTTGATTTCTTTACACCTTTATCAAACACCCTTATTTGCCATTTCCTACTTTGATAACTATAAGATAGTGTCTCATTGTTTTTATGACTTCTAAAAAAAATTTGAGATAATTTCTGATATAAAAAATAACACATATATACAAAGGACTTTAAAAAAAAAAAAAGCCCTTAACTATTAGAACAGTGATGGCGAACCTTTTGGAAGATTGAGTGGCCAAACTGCAACTCAAAACTCACTTATCACAAAGTACCGGGGCTGGGGATTTAGCTCAGCGGCAAAAGCGCCTGCCTGGCATGCATAAGGTCGTGAGTTTGGTTCCCGGTCCCGGAGAAAAAAAAAAAAAAAAAAAAAAAGCACAAAGTACCAACACTGCAATTACATGTGAATACTGAGGCTTTAGTTTAAAAAAAAAAGCAATTGTTATCCAATGCTCGCCTGCTGGGGCAAGTTGGCCCTCGTGCCAACAGAGAGGGCTCTGCATGCCTGCTGCGGCACACATGCCTTAGGTTTATCACCACTATAAATTGTCCATAGAATCCCCTGACACCCCATTACTTAATGTATGTTTTCTGTAAACAAGGATATTCTTACACATAGTCAAACTCAAGAATTAAGCATTAAGGGGCTGGGGACTTAGCTCAGCGGCACAGTGCCTGTCTGGCAAGTGTGAGGTCATGGGTTCGATTCCTGGTACTGGAAAAAAAAAAAAGAATTAAGCATTAAGCCTAACACCCAGTTCCAGTTTGGTCAGTTGTCCTAATAATATTCTAAAGAACATTAATATATGATATTAATAAATATATAATTTTGCTATAAATAGCAAAGAATAGAGATTCAGGTGTTATACTTAGTTGCCTTGCATTTAGAATAGCCCATCTCTACTTTCATAGCACAAATTTTTTTTAAAAAAAGGGCTGGGGATTTAGCTCAGTGGCACAGCGCCTGCCTGGCAAGCCCGAGGTCATGAGTTCAATTCCTGATACTGGAAAAAAAAGAAGAGGTTATGAACCCATTTTATAGAATGTCTAATGTTCTCTTCACATATTTAGATACAGTGTTTGCATCTTCAGCAGGAGTATAAGAGAAATGACTGTGTATTCTTCTGCTTGTAGCCTCTTGGCACAGAATTTCAACTTAAGTACGATTTCATCATATTTGTCAAAGTGATTATAATCACTTTGCATGCTTAAGGTATCTGCCAAGCTTCGCACTGTAGAGTTAATCTTTTTCCTTTTGTAGTGCAGTACTTTTGGGAAAGTACTTGAGATTGCTATAGTTTAGATCTAGAATGTCTGCAAAAGCCTCATGTGTTCAGAGTTGGGGCTTTTAGAGGATGATTAAGTCAGGGGAACATTGTACTCATTGATGGATTAATCCACTAGTGAGTTCAGAGCTAGAGTCTGATCAGAAGAAACAGGTTGGGGGGGGGGGGTGACCTGGCAGGGTCTGTCTCTCCCCCAGCTCTTCCCTTCCATCTCAGCTTCCTGGCTGCCATAACATTAGCAGCTTTCCTCAGCCCGAACCTTCCCCCTTGCCCTTCCTGCCAACTATGTACTAAATCCTCTAAGAAACTTGAGCTGAAATACACCTCTTCCTTAAGCTGTGGATGTCTGATATTGTGTCCCAGTTACAAGAAAGTGATCTAAGACAGAGACTAGCTTGGCATGGTGGCTCACACCTATAATCTCAGCACTCAGGGGCTGAGGCAGGAAGATCCATGCAAGTTCAAGGCCCCTATGGGCTACATACTGAGTTTAAAGCCAGCCAGAACTACATAGCAAGCCCCTGTCTCAAAAAAAAAGAAAAAAGGAAAAAAAAAAAAACAAAACAGACAGACTATGTACATATCCTTCCCATTATCAAATTTTAGTTCATTCATTCATATCTGCATAAATTCATGATTTTATATTGTATTTATAAACTATACAATATTTTATTACCATTATTTTGCTAAATTGTCTCATTTGGCTAATGGAAACTGCTTCAGGCTATCTTTTAAGTCTTTTAAATATGTCCACATCATCATCATCATTATTTTAAACAACTTACTACTTTTTGGCCCAGTAGGATATTCTAGGCACTCCTTGACCTAGTCCTAGAATCATCTGTTTCTTCCAATGCTCATAGCTTTTTAGTGTAGAACAGTCCTTAGAAGCCAAGATCTAGATGCTAGATGTGCTCATTGCTACTATAGTGTTGATATTCTCGGGTCCTTATGATGAAATAATAGCATTATATGTATGTGCACAAGCAGGGACACATGCATAGATTAGTTTTATATGTTCTACAATTTCATGAATAGACTCATGCAGCATGTATATATTTTTGCATAAATAAGTTGTCTTATTCAGTGTGATATGTATCTTTGAAATTCGTCTGTGTTGTTTCGTTCATTCTTATGCCCACCTCACCTACTCTGACTGACATCCTATCAGGTCACCTCCATGTCTGCATAACCTGGTGGGGCCCTTGACTCTATATTAGCTTACTTATCCCATCCCTATTCTGCTCAGGGTCAATAGCACTCCACTCCCTTCCATGGACACCTGTTTTGTTCTTCCCCTCTTAATGCTGGATCAGTAGGTAGGATCTCTGATTTTAAAATGCTTTCCTGCTGGGTTTGACTGAAGGCACATGGAATTATGTTCGCTAGCCTGCCTCATGGCAAGGCATGAGGCCTCAGACATGCCCAAGTCACAGTTTGATTATGAAATGATTTTTCCCCAACAATTATATAGAATTGCCCTCAACATAGATTGATTCAACATCTCATTAAAAAACGAACCATTAAAGCAGCATCCTCAATTAGCACTCCTATTTCTAACTGTACTTGTCCATAGATGATAAAATTAAAAATATCTGAAAATTTCTACTTTATACTGGAGTCAGAAAAAATATATATTTCAAGTATATTTCAAAATGACCTTTAAGGGGCTGGGGATTCAGCTCAGTGGCACAGCGCCTGCCTGGCAAGTGCCAGGTCGTGAGTTTGATTCCCGGTACCTGAAAAAAAACAAAAAAACAAAAACAAAATGACCTTTAATTCTTAAAAATGAACAATAAAAACAAGCATCCCGTTGGGCTTGGGGTATAGCCCAGTGGAAAAACATTTGCTCAGCATTCATGAGGCCCTACATTAGAGCCCCTTGCAGTGCAAAAAACAAAAACAAGCCCACCAATAGAGAAATGGGCAAAGGATGAACAGATAATCCAAAAATGAAATCCTTATGATCAATAAACATGAAAATGTATGCTTGTACAATAACCAAAAGAAAGCTTTTTTTTGGGGAGGGGGGTATTTGAGGCAGGGTCTTCTTATGTAGTGCAAGTGGGCCTTGAACTCACAGCAGTCTTCCTGTGTCAACCTCGTGCATGCTGGGATTACAGGCATGTACCATCACACAGGATATTTTGTTCATCTGTATTCCTTTTTTTTTTTCAGTTAACATGTATTGCTTTTATTAAAAAAAAATAGTAAAGGAGTTAAAAGTTAACGTAAATGTTAACTATAGACACCTTTAAGGTATAACTTCAGTCAGCAGGCAGATGTAATGCTTGTCCATTGGTGGCAGCCTTGTGGGAGTAAACTGACCTTATAATACTCAGCCTGAGATGATACTGAGCCTAAATTATATTTGTTGCCTGTCTTTTAGGAGGACTATTTTTGATACACCAGATGAGGATCCAAATTACAATCCACTACCTGAAGAACGGCCCGGAGGCTTTGCCTGGGGTGAGGGCCAGCGCCTTGGAGGTTAAAGCATCCGTGCCAATAATGAGACCCAGCTGGGAAGGACTCAGTGAACTACCCATTGGGATTCTTTTATCCTTTGTTGCAAAAGTGTGGACACTTTTGTCAGCTTGGCAGATTTTAACTCCAGAAGCACTTTACAAAATGGTACACTGACTAATCCAGAAGATATTTCCAGCATTTTGCCAGTGGTTCCTCACTACACTGGTACTGAAAGTATAATCTCTTGGAGCCAAAAAACTGGAGAAAGAGTTATCCTGCCGCCTCTTAACAAGTACATGAGTACTTCTGATGGCATAAGGCAGGCCTTTTTCCTCCTCTTTGATAGATGAGGCCATGGTGTAATGGAAGTTTCAGAGAAGACAAAATAAAACTGAATTCCATCTCTCTTTCACTGTATTAAAGCTTTTGTGCGTGATCTTTTAAATTATGTGTTCTAGCTCTCTTGTGTCAGTCTGAATTCAGACCAGTTTACATGCCTGCTCTTATTGTGTCTACAAAATTTTAACTGCATTTCATTTCAAAATTGGAAATACATGGCTGATGTGGTGTGGCTATGTACATCTTGCTAATTCAGAATGCTAGCTTCAATAGGAATATTTATCTCTGTCCTTTAGGTAATTTATTCTCCATCTGGAATTGAGAAACTTCAGATTGTCATACCACAAGGAAAAAAGAAAAAGGAGGGCAGTTTCATTAGTAGGAGGAATTCTACTGTAGAAAAGTCAGCGGGAAGCAGATAGTTCATCTGACATCTTTATTTTTTGTGCCTGCTTTTCTCCATTAGGAAATACTGAAGAAAAGACTGGTAATCACTACAGTTTTGGAAAACTACTGGAAGATAAATGGGAGGCAATGAGGCATACATTCCTCCTTGGTCTTTGGTTGATTAACAATTTTCATTTGCTTCATGAAAAGCTGAAAACCTTCAGTCCTTTAAAGTATCTAGTGTACATTCCTAATCAGAGAGAAATTAGGGTCTATAAAATTTGACACTTAATGCCAATTATGTAATAATTACTGGTGCAAAACATTAAGTCTCCTCTGGTCTGGAGAGGTTTATGTTCACACTTAACTGGAGCCCAGACAAGTAAAAAGTAGAAAAAGAATACCTCCAAGAAAGACGAGTAAAAAGTAGAAAAAGAACACCTCCAAGAAAGAGATGCGCTTAGTTTTCACAAGTTGCATATAGGCACAAGACCCTTTCCCCAAACTGGATTGTCCTTAGTTATTCTGTCTTGGATTAAGGATAACTTTCCGTAGTGAGATTTTCCTCAGAAAAACCGACATTGGATTCGATTAGACATAAACACTCCGAGGGGAAATTTTCAGATTGTTTCTGAAATGAAAAGAATTTTAATGTCTTTCTAAATGGGATATGCATAAGTAATGGAATCTAGACTGTGTTTTACATGTTGCTAGTAACTTTGAGTATGATTGTTGCAAGTTTATGGAAGTTGGGTCATTGGACTGCTCTTATTTCTCTAAATGGTTTAAAGAATCTTTTTAATGTTTAAATGCCAACTTCAGATTGTATAATCCTATGGGATTCTTAAATTTGACCATTTTTATCTTTGAGAAAACTTTTTCAGTGACTTACTCATTTTGATGTTTTTGTTATATTTTGTATTCTGCTTTGCATTACTAGAGATTGAATCCAGGGCCTTAACACTAAACTACATGCCCCCAGCCCTTTTAATTTTTATTTTTATTCTGAGAGAGGGTCTTGTGGGGCCCAAACTGACGGTCCTCTTGCCTCAGCCTCCCAGAGTGCTAGGATTACAAGGCATGCGCCAGCACATCTGACTGCATTTTTTAATGTTTTGGAGTAGAAATGGGGTTCTCTAGTTTATTTGTTCTTTGTGCATTAATTTTGAGTTAGCCAGTTAATGGAATTTTTATGGTAAAATTTAAATCCTAAAATCTACTCACTTTCACCCAAGTAGAGAATGTCTGTACGCATTAGTGACTAAGTATAATAGGCAATACATTTTGATTATAGAGCCTAAAGACAGTCAATTACAGGATTTTGGTTTCCCTGATTTTATATGATGTAAAATCCTAGTGGCAGAATTCTGTTACTACACTGTCCTGGTGGTGGTAGTTTGAATCACTGACCTCTTCATCTAGCCAGTCCCGCTACCACCATCCCTAGCCTTGCGTTGCTTGACAGGATCTCTGTGCGTCCTTGGACATAAGGGAAAATCCTTACTTTTTTCCAGAGTTATATCCTGAACTTCATTCTTCCACAACACACTTTGTTTTCATAACGCAAGTCAACTGAAAAGTGAGATTTGATACATAGGATGTACCAACCAACCTTACATATATACCAGTATAATTTGAAGGACTCTTGGATTCTACCAAATACAGAAAAGCACACCCCTGACTAAGGCATAGGTTTTTTGTTATAGAAATACAATATATGTTCATTTTTAAAAATAAATGGACGTATAAATTGCATCTCCTAGGAGATATTTTATATACATTTTGGTGTGTGTGGGTTTTTTGTTTTTTCTTTTTACTGTGGATTTGTATTTGTTTCTCTCCTAAAGTTGTTCTTTCTTCTGTGTCACTCTTGTATATCCTAAAATTTCATACTACTTGCCCAGTCTCCTGAAGCAAAGCACCCATTTTTCTGGATCTTGGTAATGGAACCCTCACTTTGTCTTGGCCTCTCAAAATTAGGAAGTGTTGGCACCATTGGCCATGTTGAATAATGGGCCTCCTAGAATTGTCATCTCTCCTGCCATTGTTTTATATTGTGGCTATATTTTCCTTTGACAGATGAGTTCCATCTGTGTTGTTACCCAAGATCCTGCCATTATTTTCAATGTGAATTTGCATTAAAGCTGTTGAACCTTGTGTAGTCAAGTCATTTCTTTGCTGAGAAATCCACAGTGGATTCTTAATAAGCCTGTGTATCAAATTCATACTTTCTTCCTCTCTGAAACTTACTCCCACTTCCACCTACCAGGCAAGGATCTCAATTTAAGTCTCTTCAGTCCTTTAAAGCCTAGCCTTGCTCCTGACACCTCAAGAAATCTTGATTGTAAGGCCTATTTCATTGTCTTTGAATTCCTACAAGGTTCCAAATCTGTATGGCATATTCTTCCACCAAATTATATACTGTCTTGTACTGTTCCTAGCTGGTACATGTATATTAGTCATGTCGCCCTCATAAGAATGTAAGCTCCTTAAGGGCAGGGATCATGTTTAAATTTTGTACCCACCACAGTGCCTAGCACAGTGCTTGGCACATGGCTGCTGAATAAATACTTTGTTTATTGATCAGCAAACTATTATCTGGTATTTTTAATTATACAGGTGTTGGGTATGCATGCAAGCTGTGCCTACATACTTAGGCTTATGGTTGTCTCTGGAAATGGGACAGGGCAAGGCTGAATATGACCAAGGGTAGTGGTTTGGTATTCAGACAAGCCAAAGGGATCACCAGCTAGTATAGTCATAATCAGATGAGATGTGTAGGTCCACAGATTATCCCTGACAAGAACAGTGTGTCTGACATACCACCTTCGGGAAGAAGGACCAGGATATTCTTTGAATAATTATTAGTTTGTCAGCATCTGTATGTGAAAGCCACGGAGCCACAAGAACTTCAGAGGACAGCAGATTTCAGGCAACTTATGCATGAAATGTGGGCAGTATGGCTTGATGCTTGTATAGGATTTAATTTTTTTTTTCATCCTCTTAGTTTTGAGGTTACAGAAGAGCTAAGTCTTGAGGCCAGAGATTATGGATTAGTTACTTTCAGATGTGCTGTGTTTTGACTGAACTTTTTTTAATGAGCCAGTTTTTAAAATTAACAAGTGACACAAAAATTTTCATTTCTTAGGGCTGTGGATGTGGCTCGGTGGTAGAGCTCTTGCCTTGCATGCACAAGGCCCTAGGTTTGATCCTTAGCACCACACACCAAAAAAAAAAAAAAAAAAAAAAAAAAAAAAAAAAAACTTCATTTTTTTGCTTTTCTTTAAAAAAAAAAAAATATGAAGCCAGCCATGGTAGTAAACATCTGTAATCCCAGCCCTCAGGGTCTGAGGCAAGAGGATCTAAAGTTTCAGGACAATTTAGCAAGACTGTCTCAAAATAAGAAAAAAAATTTTTAAAAGACTGTATAGCTCAGTGGTAAGAGCCAAGGTTCAACACCCAGTACCAGAAAGAAAAATGCCACATAGGACCACTGTTGCCTAAAAGTGATTAGTGGTTGCTTCTGTAGTTAGAGCACATGCCTTATACCATTTTTCTGTAGGAGATGGGGAAAACAAAGAATTTCAAGAAAATAGTAAACGATTTTTTAGGAGAACTCAGGCTTGAGAACATACAAGAGTCTGGCTCAGAACAAATGATATTTTGTAAATGATTCTCGGTGGGGCCAAAGTAGAGTAGAAGGAGGAGTGAGCAAGTCTGTCCAGGTATGCTGACAGACACCAGTCTTTCCTCCTGTGATACAAGTTCTCTGTTGATGAAAGATCAGAGAAGGCTCCAGAGGTAATTGTTTCTTCTTTGGAAGGTCTGGTCTTTGGGCAGATAAATGAACTTTGCGGAATGTCTTCCCTTGCATTGGAAGAGAAGAGAAAGTCAGGGAACCTGGATCTGGAGGCAGGTCCTAGGCCTTGAAATATCTTCACATCAAATTGTGCACTATCATCTAGGCATGGTGGCTGAGGCAGGATTACAAATTTGAGAAGTGTCTGGGTAATTTAACAAGAACCTGTCTCAAAGAAGGACTGAGATGTAACTCAGTGTGAAGGCCCTACTTTCCAAAAAATGCCATATATTTATTATTCTGAGATTACATAGTCGTTTTTGTCTTTTTCATTCAACATGATTTTTTAAAGTCCACCCGTGTCTAGTTAGATCCTTATTGCTGGAGAAGATGCCCTTCTATGGGAATCATTACAACCACCACACCATATGTGACATCTTATTCTAGCTTCTTTCTCTCCTTCATATAGGCAAAGAGTCAAGTTTGGAGGGTAATTTTGAGATTCCAAAATGGAGTGAAGGCAGTACACAGCAGGGTCTTGACAGTAACCAAAATGGACTATCTTGTGGCCACCAGAGTGCTCTGTGGCCAAAACTATGAAGGTTTTAGCCCGGAGTGGTGGTGCACAACTGTAATTCCAGCTACTCAGGAAGCTGAGG